TGTGTGACTATTACTTAATAATAATCATCCCAAGTGGAAATACGGTTTATGCATCTTTTTTTGATGTATTAAACTCAAAACACAAGATATCAACCCAGCATATGGAGGCCCCGACAAAGAATGTTCAACAAAACCAGAACAGATGAATCCATAATTGCAAAACTAACTCTGAAATTATTCAACACAGATATGACGTGCAGGCAAACAAGGCACTGGGTTTTTCCATTACTTTCAATAAATAAGTTGTCCACTTCCCACTCACGCTGAAATCCTCTTTTTTCTATATCTATCTTGAGTTTCCTACTGAGAATCATAGTTGTGTTGTTTTAGAATTGTGAAATACTCCTCTGTCTGCTCCTGCTGCTGCTGCTGGTTCCTGAGTCTCACCCGCTGCACGAGGCTCGAGTCAGCACAAAACGTGCCGGGGAGGGGCGGAGCGGGATTCCTCTGCCAGAAATGGTTTGTAGGCCAGCCAAAATCATCCGCCGGGGGCCAGTTGTGGCCCGGGGGCCGCTTGTAGGCCCACGTTGACCTAAAGCACAGCCAAATCCAACAGTAAGGAAGTGACGGGTTGCTCCCAGGTGAGCGCTATAACAACACCAACGACTACTTCCGTGTCTCAATCCCTCCACCTTTCTCCCCCATTATCTGTTGTTACATCCTACTTTACAATCTACCTCTTCCACTGCCCTATGTGCAGGGTTCCCGAGTCGCTATCCTGTGTGCCGGACGCTGTGTAAATGCAGGTTACACTGAAACCCCGGGGGGCGTAGATCTGGTCCAGCGAAGAGTAATTTTGGGCTCGGGGTAACGGCATTTACCGGCATGTTTTCAAAAATGCCGTCCTGTGAGCAGAAGCTAACGAATTACCTATTTTCTGCTCATGGGATGCAAACAATCTGAGTCACAGTGGCTGTTTGTGGGATGTTGCTGTGCAGAATTGTGTTGCCACTAGTTACCAGGGTTTTGTAGGTTATGGAGTCTTGCAGCTCAGTGGTTAGAGCACTCGCTTTGCAAGCGAGAGACCTGAGTTCAACTCCAGGCAGAGGGCGAAACCTTGGGCAAGTTTCCTTACTCCACACAGAGCCTAATAATAATCCCTCCAAAACCAAAAACAATAATAAATTGGTCATTTTCAATCCCCGACTGTTTGTGGGACATTGCTGTGCGCAATCGGCTGCCGCGTTCGCCCACAAATATACAGTCAATTCACTTTACAGCATATTCTGTGAAGCGCTTTGAAAAGTCGAGAAGACGTGAAAAGCGCTGTATCAAATGCAAGGATTATTAAAACAGAGAGAGCTGGGAACACTCAGCAGGTCAGGCAGCATCTATGGAGAAAGGAAAGTGAGTCAACGTTTCGGGTCCACGTGGACCTTTCCTTTCTCCATGGATGCTGCCTGACCTGCTGAGTGTTCCCAGCTCTCTCTGTTTTTGTTTCAGATTCCAGCATCTGCAGTATTTTGCGTTTTGTGCAAGGATTATTATTTTTATTTATGATTATTACGAAAGGAGTCTAAATCCTCCCTAACATGGCAACAGCAATCCCTTTAATCACAGAACATTCCTGATACACATCCAAATACCCTACGCAACCCAAAAAAAATTATCTGAAAGATGCATGGTTTGCGTGTGACGGCTTGTGCATTGATGTCTCTGATCAAACATAATTTAAATTAAAATAGAAGATTATTTTAGCTAATTACCTGTGGCACTCAAAACACTTCTTAGATGATGAATGCGATCAGTAAACAGGAAATGTTTGTTGTGATAAACTTATCAGAGGGGCAGATTACAAAGGGCAACTCAGAACACTTGTCAGTTTCAACGGAAGTGGCTTCGCCTGCAGGAAATGCCTGGTGCCTTAGTTAATGAAGTTGTCTTAAATCATGAGTTGTATTGATAAATCATTTGCAGTAATTGCAGCCTGTTTCAAAGCGTGCCATCACAACCAATTAATTATAGGTGACCAACAATTAGTATTTACTCATTAAGGAGGAATTATTATTATTATTATTACCAACTAGGCTTGTGTGTTTTACAGTATTCTTGGAAACAGCAGTCTGCTGACCGTTGTTCTCTACAGCCTTCTCACTGTGCCACTTTTTAATCAGTAAAATGTATGAGAAAACAATACCAAGGCTGCTCAGGGTTATGAAAACTACAGATTTGCTAATGGCAGTTCCATCACTTCCACATCCATCTCCAGCTGTTTGTGTTGGCTTTTATTCGTCAGGCAAATTAATAAAGCAAACAGCAAATGTGCAAAAAGAGAATGTGAGAGACATGTACATGGAAGCGAGAGACAGAGTCAGAGTGAGAGAGAGAGGAAGAAACAGACAGACAGATAGGTGTGCAAGAGAGTGGATTATCTCTGAAATTGAGCAGGAGAGATAAATATTCACTGTATTTGAAACAGCTCCTTTCATGTGGGATCACTTTGTGGGTTAAATTCACTGGCAATTAACATTTAGAAAATACATTTCACATGTGCAAATGTGGGAAACTCATTTTCTTTGGTTATGTCAATTTTCAAACAGCGTAACAGTATTTAGGCTAATCCATCATTGGAGCTTCCGATCCAAGTCTACCCAGCCCACAGATTATATCAGCAGTCAGTTATCTGGGTGTGGACGGAGAATTATTTCTCAACAGATTTTTAAACACCAAATGAAACGGATAGTGTCTGATGCATTGGTGTGTATTGTCGAATAATCACATTCTGATCAATCATCTTTCAACTATTTTGTACTCATACTCCTGGCCAACAGGAGGGGGATTTATTTAATCCCCCAATAAAATTGGTGATTTCCTTCATGGCTGTTTTGTGAGACAGCGGTGCGTACAAACTAACTGCTGTTTTCCCCACAAAATACACTTTACACTATACCGTGAAGCACAATGAGATGTCTTGACAACGTGATAAGGCGCTATATCAAATGCAAGGATTATTATTACTATTATTATAATAGTCTCAGCCTGCTGAGGTCCCATTTATCTGACTGTTCAGGTGTGATGTAAGGAATGAATGACACTATTCGAAAAAGAGAGTAGTTTCTCCTGGTGTCCTGGTCAACAATCCCCCAAATACTTTGATCATTGCTTTATGTCTGTTTAAATGCAAATCAGCTGCCATGTTCAAAATAATCACAACACTTATCCTTTGAAGTGCTTTGAGATGTTTCAATGCAAGGATTGAATACAAGAAATACTATCCTTTAGCTCACTGCTACCTTCCTCCTGTATATTTTGTGAAGGATACTCACAGCCAAAACAATATTCCTCCCTGGCAGAATTCAATGTTAGCAGTAAACTCTCCCACTAACTGGCTCCACAACTATTTCCCACCATTCTTAATATGAATTTCCTTGTTGATGAGTGCACGTTTAACATAACAAATTGTCCATCAAACATGAAAGGTCATTCTTTATGAGTTGATTTTTTTAAACGAGTTCTGACCAGGACTAACCTCTGGCAGCTTGCAGAGGGCTTCAGGCTGAAATAATAAACAATGTTTTGGAAAAAATGCTTCTACTTTTACTGAAAAAACAGTCTTTGGGCAAATCTAACTTGAAGCCTGGTCAGTGTGGTGAGGCAGCCTTTTCCCAGGCAAAAACATCATCCAGTGTTGAGCAGCATCAACAGTTACTACAGTAAAATAAACTCGGTCTGACTTTCAGGAGTGGAGGGCTTTGTGTCAAGTATAGAGTGAAGGACTGATCTGTGGCATTGGATATGGAGTTTAATGACTGGACCATAGGATAAAGGTTGTTTCAAATCTATATTTGATAACCATGAGAACAGAATAATATTTTTAAGAGGAGGGAGTTCTCCGTCTCCTGGCCAGTACCTCCTTACTCATCCAAAATCACCCCCAGGGAAAAAGACGAAAGGACCCGTCACTGGTACTCTAAACAAGATTCAGACTTGGGGGTAGCTCAATCCAGGCTCAAGTCAGTGCAAGCCTACAGCACAAAACTGCTCAGAATTGTGCATTATAATGGCACTGAATTAGCCCTCAGTCTCTCTCGCTCTCTGGTAATGGTGGCTGTTGTGTGATGGGAAATCATTTTCAGGACACTAACACTTCACTTGTATCTCACCTATGTTGTAATCAGGGGAAAGGAAGGTGAGAAATGTTCAACTCAAGAGTGCAAGAAGTAGAACATTTCCTGTCCTCATCATCAACTCTGCACCAAATATCCAACTTAAAAAAAAATAGAAAGATAGAAAATCAAGCATTGATTCCTCAGGATATTTCCACTTACACGCATAGAGCGTCCTTCTAATAGGAGAGGTATCTGGAAGCTTTGTACAGAATTAGATCAATTTGAAATGAGGTGAACATTGATATGGAGGCAAAACACCAGCACTGATTTCTGCCAGCACTGACCCACACGACAATGATAGCCTCAAGCAAATGTTTTGCTGATGGTTTGTTTGAAATCATTTACAACAGCACACCACGGCGAGGCACATCTACATGACCAATTGCCCATAAGCAATGCCCTGAGATCTCCATGGGTCTCCCCAAGAGGGAATGAATAGTCTGCTTGGGAACAAGTTACACTGGGAGATGGTGCACAAGTCAGTGCAAGGCTATAGCATAAAATTGCTCAGGATTGTGCATTGTCATAGCACTAAAAAATTAGTGCTCGGTCTCTGGTAATGGTAATTGTTTTACAGTAAAAAGGGGTAGAGAAAAAAAGGGGAGTGTGGAGTACGGGCTCTTTCATTAAGCAAAAACAAAAGAAAATAAGTTGAAACATTGTCCTTTGCTTCACAATGAAAAAGGCTTGATGGGTTTGAATTCAAAGCATTTTTCATGTAAATTTATTTTTTTTGGAACCAAATCGAAAATGGTATATTCTAGTATTCAACTACTTTCAAGTTTCTATTGTACACACAATCTGCAAGTGATGAGTAGTGTGTTACTCGGTTAATGCAGAGATAAAAGGTACTTTCTCTCGCGCGCACGCACACACACACACGCACGCCCATTTACTAACAATGCAAACTGTATTATATAACAGAAAGTACATTTTTTTTCTATAAATGTAATGAGTTTGCAGGATGCAAAGTCTGAACAGGCTTCACACGTGCACTTATTTTTATACACAGTAAAGATACAAATGTAATTAAAATGTATGTACAAAAACATGTCAGAAAGAATCCTAAACTTACAACAATCCTTTATAGCTGCCCCATCACCTTCCAAATATACAAATTTATATTCATGTGCACATCTACACCTAACGCAAAGCACACGGTTCTCCTAAATGAAATGCGAGCACAGGACATTTTTAACAAGGGATTGATTAGTAGATGTGGTTCAGTGTGATTTTTTTTAAAAAAAGATTTTTTTTCTTAAAGTTAACAGTAATCTAGGAACTAACCATTATGTTTTCATTCACAGGTGTTAACATTAAAACATCCGAACACCCTCTCACTAAGCGCTCTGTCCATCTGTGCCCACCAAGCCCAGCTTGTAACAACTGAAAATGGTAAAATGCCATTTAAATACTTCTTGCTGTGGGTACCCCCCACCCCCCAATTCCATCTATTTCTTCCTCCATTATGAAAAATGAATTACTACATCTTACTTATTTTGTATTTTTTTTTAAAAATCAGGTTTCACATTGGAATTTTTTCAATAAATGACCCTGGAAAGGAAAACAAGTCCACATTGCTTGTCCTTATCTTTTTTTTTTAAAAAATCTTTTTAATAAATTTTAATTATTTCAAAGCACCAAAGGTTTCTTCTCAATTTAATTTCCTTTTTTCCGTTGACCAGTGGTTTGTTTTTGTCTACCCTCCCACCCCACGTCCTTCCAACCCTACAAAGACCCCGCAGGCATTAGACCCTATTGATTTTACGTCTGTAGCTGTACGCAGTTACGTGCGATTCGGAAATTCAGTGCTTAAAAGTGAATAAACGTTGAGTTTATTCAGAGATGTCCTCCTCTGCGGTGGCTCCCTGAGCGACCTTTGCCAACTCCTCGTGAACCTCCCTGACCATGAGAATGCGGGTCAGCATGGCATCCAGAATGGCGTGGTCCGTGGGCAGTGGGGAGTACCACATTGGGCTGTCAGGCACACATGATCGTTCAGGCTGAAGATAGAAAATATCACTCCTTGCCCTCACGCTCTCGGAGCTATGGGAAGGAACCAGAATGTAAAATCAGTTATAAATACAACTTGCACTTCTATCATGCCAGTCACGTAGAATGGGGTCTCAGAGCCCTGCAAAGTTTGTGTCTGCGGAGACCGAGGAAAATGGGGAGGGGAGAGGTGACCATAGGAAAGTTGAACAATGGGATTTATAGATAGAAAAGCTGGGAGGGAATGAAGGGATTGAGGAGGGGAGTTCCACAGGTTAGGGGATTTGCAGCAGGTGTATGTTAGCTGAGGGAGGGGGTGAGCAGAGGTGTGGACGACAAGCAGGTCAGAGGTAGGGAGATGCGAGGGAACACTTCACTTCTGCATTCAACAGCTTTATGGAGAACGCAGCTTCTTAGCGTTTAACAACAATTTGGAAAAATAGGTTATTTAATTTTATTTGACCTCATAAATCTGATCAGTGTCAGTGACCTGGCAACAATCCCCTAGATACACTCCATGTGTTTGTGGGACACTGCTGTGTGCAAAATGTTCAACAACAACAACACAATTGCATTTATAGAGCGCCTTTCATGTCGGGAGGACGTTCCAAGGTGCTGGATAGTCAGGGGTCAGGACCCGAGCATGGGGGAGGGGTGGGGTAGGGTTGAGGAAAAGCAGAGAGATGAGAGGGCGACTGAAGGCACGATCAAAAAGGAGGATCTTAAGACCGGCCTTAAAGGAGGTGAGGGAGGAAGCGAGGCGAAGGGACCGTGGGATGGAGTTCCAGAGTGTGGGGCAGAGAGGCTGAAGGCCCGGCCACCGATGGTAGGGCAGGTCGGGCGGGAGACATGGAGCAGACCAGAGCCCGCTGAACGGAGGGAGCGGGCAGGTTGGTAGGGAGTCAGCAGGTCAGAGAGGTAGGAGGGGGCGAGGCCATGGATGGCCTTAAAGGTGAGAACGAGGATCTTGAACTCAATCTTCTGAGGGATGCGGAGCCGGTGGAGTCGGGCGAGGGTGGGAGTGATGGAGTCACGGAGCCTGGTGCGCGAGAGTACACGAGCTGCAGAGTTTTGGATGATCTGCAGCTTGTGAAGGGAAGAGTTGGGAAGGCTGATGTTCATCTACAAGTGGAGTCCTGTAGCTCAGTGGTTAGAGCACTCGCCTCGCAAGCAAGAGACCTGGGTTCCATTCCCGGCAGGGCGAAACCTTGGGCAAGTTTCCTTACTCCATACGCCTGATAATAATCCCTCAAGAAAAAAAATTGGTCGCTTCAATCCACGACTGTGTGTGGGACACTGCTACGTGCAATTGGCTGCCATGTTTCACCCACAAATATACAGTCAATTCACTTTACGGTATATTCTGTGAAGAGCTTTGACACGTCTCAAAAACTTGATAAGGTGCTATATCAAATGCGATAATTATTATTACTATAAGTGCTCTGAGACGTCATTCCGACATGAAAGGCACTATAGCTATGTCAAACGCAAGGACCATTAATTGATTTTACTTAGTCATTTTAATAACAATGCTTGCACACCGTCTGCAGGCGTGTTCCTTTCCCTCCACTCTTAGTTTCATCTTTCAAAACAGAATGAACTTGATGCTGTGATAAACACAATGATTACAGCGTACGTACCATTTAGACAGGTAGAATTCAAAGAGACGCACTGGACATCGGACTGGGTTATCTGTGTTCTCAGACATTCCTATGTCCTCTTCCTCCTCTTCGTCACTGCGTTTCCTCTTTCCAAACTGTAATTTATCTGTGTAAGGAACAGAACAATAATAAATCCAACCGGTCGGTCCCTGAGCCCCCGAACCCGACCTACTGTTCACTGTTTGCACCCTCTATTTTTCATGAATCATAGAATATCACAGTGCAGAAGGAGGCCATTCAGCCCATCGTGCCGTTGCCTTTGAAAGAGCTACCCAATCAGCCCCATTCCCATGCTCTTTCCCCATAAATCTGTAAACAAGTTAGACGTCAACACCACATCCATTGGTTGTCACAGCAACAGGTAATAACCCTTTGCATTTGATACCCAATGCTCTTGAGACGCTACCCCATGTGAAGGGCGCTATAGAAATGCAAGCTGTTGTAATTAGTGCATCGAACTCTACAGAAAACAAAAGACAAAACACTGCAGAAGCTGGAAATCTGAAATAAAAACAGAAGTCGCTGGGAACGCTCAGCAGGTCAGGCAGCACCTTTGGTCATCGACCTGAAATATTAACTCACTTTCCTCTTTCCACAAGTGCTACCTGACTTGCTGAGTGTTTCCAACGATTTCTGTTTTCCCATGAAAACAAACCCAGGCTTACTCAGCTGAAGCTAAACCTTAGAGCCGTAGTGGCCAATCTGTAGCCCATGGGACCGTCAAGAAGGGGCCACCTCGGACATCCGCACGAGTCTAGGTTCATCCATGTTCAACCAGTAGTTTGTTTCAGGTTTTTCTTGACTGAATGCTTCTTCATTTATGGCATAGATCAAGAAATATTCAATCAGAAAAATGAATCTTTTGGGGCCCAAAAATGTGCAAATTCCATGTTTTACAGCTCTCAGCAACTGGCAGCAAAAGTTTTGCATTAAATCTTGCCCCGCCCCCAACCCCCCCCTCACACACACATCCACACGTGCCTCCAGCTAGGCTCCTGTGACTGAATGTGACTGTACGCACCTATGTCTTTATCTTTTCTACACATGGGTCGGATAAATCGAAGGTAGGTCAGCTTTGTATTATGCTTGAGAGACTTTGTACATCTCATGATGTGGGTGAAGGAGAGGTTCATGTGGTCACTGACACTTTTCAGTTGGAAGTACTTGGTGTTAAAGAACAGCAGTGTGTTGAGGAGAACAGTTGGAGAATATGCTCCGAGTTGTTTACATTCCCATAAATGTTCCTCTTCAATCCGACAAAATAACTGACCTAAAGACAAAGAAGAGAATGAATAAATTGAGTGTGTGGGGAGAGTAGCAAGGTCAATGGATGACCGACCACTCACGCACAACATCCTTACTTTGTTCTCTCAAAGACACTATCAATATTAAAACGGGTAAAAAGATCCTGAGACTCTATAAACCATCCTTACAGCTGTATTAAATCTCATTGAGAGCTCACTAAATTTACTCACTGAGACACTGACCAGGAAGGCTCAAGTTCAGCTGCCAGTCTGTGCTGAGTAATACTGCATTCTGCCAGGCTACACTGGAGATGCCAAAGTTCCCTGCAACAGACTGGGTTAGGGTAAGGAACAATTAGTCAGGGCTCTTGTCATGAAAGCTATCTGAAGTCCTTGCTTTAAGTGCACTGAACAGCGAAAAGGGACACAACATGGTAAGCGACTGGAAGGAAAACTAGATGAACTTTGGTTGCCTATAAAATTCTTATGTTCGTAACATATCAGGTCTGACTAAGGCATTCTATGGTTGAGTACTGGGCTGACGCTCACTGTCAAACTGAGAACAGCTACGAGGTATTGGAGGTTGACTGGCACCCTGAGGAACAAAGTCAAAGACTTTCAGAAGAGGAGTCTGAAGAAAATTAAGGAAAGAAGAGAAAACTTATGTACATTGTGAACTATATTTGAATAGGAATCATATTTATACCTGAGCTGCCTTCACTGCCCATGACCAAGGTTAATGAGGTTGTGAGGAGCTGTGGAATTTGGAACACAAGTACAACTCACAGCAGCAAAGGAGCATTTAAAAGAGTCCACACAGATCTTTGTGCTGCTACATCAAAGACTAAGAAGTGATATCATTGGGGGGGTGAATGATCTAGATACACTGCTAAATTCTTTTTAAATGTAGTAAAAATCTGGTAGTCAGGCCTCACGCAGTTGATGTGTGCTATACTTGCCACTAGGCAGGAGCTGTGGTTCCCACATTTTCAGAGCTTTCGTCAGCTCCGCTGTGAACTTCATGTAGTAAAGATCAGTGAAGATGTTATCAATCCGACTGTTCTCAAAGATGTACTGAAAGAAAACAGAATGTCTGAAATGAAGGGATCTGATAGTTTAATCTCAGTGGCCATCTCAGTTACGAAGGACACATCTGTTGAAAGAAACCTTGTAAACATTCTGAAGCGGCTCCACTTCTACATTAGGACAGAATTTGCCGCCTCCCTTTCCTCGCGAGCTATCCTCAATACTTACCCACGTCAATGCTTGGCATTTGATTCCTCATTCAGGTTAGTTCCCTATCTCAGTCCACAACTCAAGTCTGACATCTCGCCAAGGAGGCATTCCCTCACTCAGAATTCTTGTTGAGTAATAATAATAATCCTTGATATAGCGCCTTATCACATCTTCGAGACGTCTCAAAGCGCTTCACAGGATGTACTATAAAGTGAATTGAATGTATATTTTCTGGGCGAAGTAACTAATAGACAGATAAGCACTGCTGAACAAACAGCGATGACTTCTTCAATAGTGGTTTATATGTATACAAAATATTTGATTATTTACACTAGGTGCCACTGTATCTTTTTCAAATAATTAATAAAGAGTGTCTGGCCAACATAACCCTCAGCGTACTGTTATCAGATGGTACCTGCTGGATTCCTAGGCACAAATAGAAGATGCTGTCCAAGTGATACTTTTCCCCATTTGGTCTCCGCACGTCCTGAATAAATTGACACAGCCCAAAACTGAGCTCAGCAGCAGTGCACGAGAGAATGTCTTCCTTCAACTTCACTAGTCGAGCTGCAAGGTGCAAAACATGCGTAAGTTACTCAATACTGTGCCTCTGAAAATAATCCCTGATAAAGCCGTGGATGGCAGTGTTATGATCTCATCCTGTGGTTCTCTAAGATCAGCACGCTGCCTTGGCTGTGACATTAATGCACAGAGAACAGGTTACCAGGTGTTGACACAGTTCTAGCTTGTGTTATTCTATTTACAGAGAAGCCCAAAGGTATGGAGGAGTTACTGTAAATAAATGAACCGACAACACGAGCATAGAATGGCAACAAGTGGCATGGGGCTTTCCTATAGGAATGTAGGGTAAAATAAACAATGGAAGAGAGTGGGTCTAACACCTTCAGGCAAGGAGGGAATGCCACTAAGGGAATGCTCTTAAAGGCATTGTCAAAGCTTCCCAGCTCCAAGTTACAGTGCCCAGCTCCCAGCACAGCTCCCAGTGCCCAGCCTCCCAGTAACATTTGGCAGCAGTATATAGCTGTGCTCCTGGAAAAGGGAAAAATAATAGAAATATGTTTCTTACAGAACTTAAACCTCAGAATAAATTGGCATCAGTAGTGCAGCTAAATCCACTAGAAAGGGTCAGAAAAGAACCAGAGTTTTGTAGACACACACACACAAAATCCAGGAAGGAGGGAACTTCACTAAAACATGGATCTTAAGAAGAAAAACTGCTTGGGATTTCCCTTCTTGTTGGCTTGGGCTACATTAAGGATAACAAATAAAGGAACATTGATTTTGTTGTAAATTTAAAAGGAGTTAATTATCTCTCATCACTCCACTTACATCCAAACCTCAGCTCCTCTGAATGGTTTCCCTGTGTGTTTTTACGCTGTACCCATCGTTTCCAGGCATTCACTCCATACATGTATTTCAGAAAGAGACCCACATGACTCTTTCCAGCTACAGGCTCTGGTAAAAAATCTCGCGTTAATCCAACAATAGATTTCTTCCTTCCCTGAATAATTCAAAGAAAACAGAGCTAAAAGGTCTGTTCAATACAATTAGAAGGTCAGCTTCAATTCATTCTTCACATTTTTGAAAAATAAAAGATGTACATTACATGTACATAAGTTATTATTATACCCTGAATGAGTTGACAAATGACAAGGCAGTCTTGCTCCATGGAATAGTCAAACTGGATTACAAAAATGCTTATGCAAAATAACATTGGTTCTCAGTATCTTTAACATTCATGGGTCTACCTGTTCCGGTGGATGTTAAAGATCCTTTGGCATTCAAAAAGAGAAATTATTTTTTCTCCTTGTCCTGGTGAACACCCCCCCGCCCCACCGCCCCCAAAATGTAAATGGTCACTCGCTTCAATCTGAGACATTGCTATGTGCAAACTGGATGCTGCGTTCAGCACAAACTAGTCACTAACAATAATAAAATCCTGTGAAGTGCTTGGAAATGTCTGAACAATGCGATAAGATGTCATATCAAGTGCAAGGATTATAATAACACTGTGCCCATAATAATAATCCTTGTATTTGATGTAGAGCCTTATCATGTGTTCGAGATGCCTCAAAGCACTTCACGGAATGTAGTGTAAAGTCCAGGAATCAAACCCAGGTCTCTCGCTTTGAGGCAAGTCCTCTGGCCACTAAGCTACAGGACTCCACAATTTATTATATATAAGCAAGTTTATTTGTCCACTCTCACCCTTTTCCTTGGTTGTGGTAAGCCAGCATTATTCTTAGCACGCTGCTTTGCTCTATTCTGTCGTGCCACAGCTATTTGGTTGCGACGTGATGATTCATAGGTATCTGTTGAAAGAATTAAGCAATAGAATAAGCTTCAACACCCAACATCATCTGTAGGCATCTTCATATTGCCCGGATGAATGTTCAAAACAAACACCCTACAAACTAAACGTTGATGGCGATCAGCTAATACAGCGCAGATCAGGGCCTGAAGATGAGACTTTTGTGATCCATCTGAAGAGGCAGTTGCACATCGCAACTCTGGGTGTCAAAATCTTCAGGGAAGGAAAGCTTGGAGATTTCCTTCATCCAGAGAAGGGACGGGAGGAAGGGAAGAACCTAAGGGCGGGGAGAGGATTAGATCATTGCATGGTGTGCTCATCATTACTGACCTATTGTTATGTCTGCTTCCAGGTCTACCTCAATCTCTGCAACAGGGAGCAGCTTGATATCTGGCTCAGGTGCAGATGCGAGAGAATGCTTCAGAGTAAAATTGGTCAGTTCATCCTCCCAGCTATGTGGCGTAGACACAGCCTCTGATTCCAGGTCCCCACTGTACGTGCTGCCCTGGTCTGAAAGAAGAGCCATCAGTTGCTCAGGATAACTTAGCAGTCGGTTCAGAAGTTAACATACCTAACTAATAAGGGTAACTACAGCGTAAGGGCAAAGTGCAGAAAATTGCAACTTTATATTCTTATAAAAGAATCTCATTTTTGTTTACAGTAGTATCTAATTTTTTTTTGATGCACTGATAGCAATAGTGACTATTAATCTACAGCTAAGTGGCATTCCATTTCCTCAAAAGGACTAAAGTTGTTTTTCTACAAAACTGATCTTGGCAACAACGGACATTGAAATCTCCTGGTGCAGTTTTCCACCAGGCATGATCAAAGAATTCCAGGATATCTAAAGTATTAACATTCCCATCAGGATTAGTCATGGCTATTTTTCCGATGTACTTTCACCTCTGTCCACTTTATCAGTAGGTTGCTTGACTGATCTGCATTTTATTTACTGTTTCTCTTTTGGCACTTCTCTCCTTGTGAAGACATGAACCCTTCCTGTGATATGGATCTCAAAGCTCTACAAGTACTCTTCACCATTCTTCAAACAAGAGCCAAAGCTGGGAATGTCTGCAGGCTATCCGGCTTAATCACTACTCAGCATGTTGACTGATGGTCTTCGAGACCAATCACTCTCCACTTCAGATAAACACACACAAACCAGTGCTCTAATACCCACCAGAACACTGCGCTAGGGAAGCTTTCATACCTACAATTCCAACAACATTACATTTGCATAGCGCCTTTCACGTGGGGAGGACGTCCCAAGGCGTTGGACAGTGTACAGCATTTCAGACCCACGCTGGGGTCGGTGGGGGGGGGGGGGGGGAGAAGAAGGGAGCTGACCGATGGCATGTCGAAGAGGAGGGTCTTGAGGCGGGATGTGAAGGAGGCTAATGAGGTGGCGAGGTGGAGTGAATTGGGGATGGAATTCCAGAGGTTGGGGGCAGAATGGCTGAAGGCTCTCCCGCCAATGGTCGGGCGGGTAGGTCGGGGGACGTGGAGCAGACCAGAACCAACTGAGCGGAGGGTGAGGACAGGTTAGTAGGGGTTTAGCAGGTCGCAGAGGTAGGGTAGGGCGAGGCCATGGAGGGTTTTGTAGGTGAGGACCAGGATCTTGAAATGAATTCCACGCTCAAAGGCAGAAATTTCACCCAACTCTAGACTGACTATTTATGCAGCATAGGCAGATTCTTAATTAGTTTTTAATTTAGAAGTCTGTTTACTGCAAGTTCTTTTAACGCGAACAAAACAGTTTCAAAGATGAGACTGAATTCAACCATTTTCCAAATTCTGGACACTTTGAAGACACTAAGAAAAGGAGAGTAAATCTACCTCTCCTGGATGGAATCCCTCCTCCTGCCCCCACTTGCTTCCTGATCTCAGATGCAACGTGAGAGTTTCCTCACGGAGGGAATAATGAATGATTACCATTATTAAGTTATTATTATAATAATAATCCTTGAATTTGATATAGCGCTTTTGACGTCTTCGAGGCGTCTCAAAGCGCTTCACAAAATATGCTGTAAAGTGAATTGACTGTATATTTGTGGGCGAACGCGGCAGCCAATTGCGCACAGCAGCGTCCCCACAAACAGTCATGGATTGAAAATGACCAATTTATTATTGCTTTGTTTTGTAGGGGTTATTATTAGGCTTGTGGAGTAAGGAAACTTGCCCAAGGTTTCGCTCTGCCTCGAATTGAACCCAGGTGTCTCGCTTGCAAGGCGAGTGCTCTAACCACTGAGCTACAGGACTTATTAATAATAGGAATAATACTTGCATTTGATATAGGGCTTGATCACATCATCAAGACACATCAAAACATTTTGCAAGATATACTGTGGACAGAGCTTCCAATGAAAACCCAGTTAATAACTTTGCATTGCATAAACAGCAGTAACTTATGTGGTTGAGGGACTCCACAACCACAGGTGGGCCCTCCCTCGTCATTCAGCTGAGAATTTTCTTTACTGTTTTTGGTTCCAGTTGCATTAACCTTGAAGATAAAGCTCATCATTACTGACCTATTGTTATGTCTGCTTCCAGGTCTACCTCAACCTCTGCAACAGGGAGCAGCTTGATCTCTGGCTCAGGGCATAGCCTGGCTGCATGCTCACACCACTGACTGATCTTTATGCAGAGTCCCTCAGTCCTGTCTGTGCAACTGTCAGGAACCCATAGGAATAGCCACTTATCAGTGGTGTAAAGTAAGTAATTCATGAAAACTGGCCACTGACAAGAAAACTTGGGATATCTCCAAGTGCAGCTGGGAAGTCTTTATATAATCTTATTTAAAATAACTTATTCAACGGTTATTAACAATTTGAACAAAGTAGTTGCAACAAGCTGGCATATGGCAATTCAGTGGGTGACGTAACTCACGATTCACAACTTAATTCCTGAGCAGGTGGATTAGGCACAATGGTGAGATTTCTACTCTGTACTCACCACCGTGTGTAACTGTCTTATCTTTCTCCTCCTCTTCTGCGATCATGGCAGCCATTGTTAGCAGATCTGCTTCAAAGGGATTCAAGGGAATTTTCTCCTTTATATCCTGGATTGTTTCAATGATTCTGTCTGCGCCATCGAGCGTTGTGGGAATGAACATTGGTACTGGCAGCTGGAATGTAATGAACAATAGTCTTAGGACACGAGGGCTAGCGCATATTGGCAGCTACAAGACAGTCACAACTTAGAAACTACAAAATCCGTGTAGGATTATAAAGATTTAAGACACTGCTTAAGTATAACTTACAGGCACAGGCATCCCTAGAGGTAATGGTGTGAACTGAGAGTAAAGATGCAGAGGCACGGGGATGTAAATTGGCACAGGAATGGGCACCACTATTAGCTTTGGCTTCCATTCCTCTTCTGGAAAATAAAAACAAAACATGTCACTCCTAGTAAAAGCAACATTCAATCCATCTTCGTGCAAATAAGTACAAGACATTTGATAAGAATCAAGTCCAACCTTTCTGTAACAGGCTGACTGTATCTAGACATATATGCAGATAATTACTCTACAGATTGCAGGACAAAGTCATCCAAAAAGCATTTTCTTCTTTCTGGTTGTAAATTCTTCCCTGTTATTTGAACTATCAAGCATATTAAATGGGATATTGTCCATCTGTCCAACCACAGTTGAAAAAAAATACAATACTTGTTGCCAATCTAGTAAGTAACGGTGAGACATACATCTACATAACACACACATATCTATTACCTGTCTGACAAGACTTGGTCTGTGTATGTGGCTTACAGGACGTGGCTTTGGTCTGTGTGATCGGTTTACACAATAGAGCTTTGTTCTTGAGAACCTTGGGTGGCACAGAAGGTGGGAGTCGAGCAGTTTCCGTCTGCGTGCTGGTCTAATTATCAACAGATTGAAGAAACCTGATGTAAAGAAACCATTCACTACAAACAATTCATTGTTTGTTCTCCATTGAGAACACCAACCGAATCTCTTCCTTACCTCGACACAAACTTGAGTTCCTGAAGTGATACGAGTTCCTCCTGCTAAAATAGAAATAAATCTCAGAGCGCAGTCATGAAGGGTTTTACTTTGCTGACTGCACAGTGGTGTAAAAAGCCACTGTTCTACCTAATTACTGGTGAATAGAGAGATTATAACTGCACACTTAACATTGCAATTTATAACACATTAATAATAATAATCCTTGCATTTGGTATAGTGCTTTTTTCACGTCTTCTAGACATCTCAAAACGCTTCACAGAATAGACTGTAAAGTGAATTGACTGTATATTTGTGGGCATAATATACCTCTTAATATACTTGATATTCTCTTTCCCATTCTAACACTCCACTCTCATTTCTCATGGACGCTAGCCTCTAGATTGGAAATTAATCTCAGTGCTAACCTCATATTTCTACTGAATGGTGCAGCTCATCAGCACACTCTGCTGTGGTGTTCTTTATAACCTGCAGTTATGGCATTGCTCAAACAATCTGAAGAGGTTATGCTCAGAGGGCACGTGCTTCATAGCTGTGTGTAATATTACAGTAATGTAAAAAATGGAGACTAGGAAAGCTCCAGATTTACCCTCGTGGGCTAAGGAGTAAATAAACTGTCCTAATAGTAACTATAGCTTCAATCTTGCGAATATCAGAACACAAGATTCACAAATCACCAACCACCATCTGAACAGACAGTGCCCACTTAGGTCATGCCAATTCACAAACCTTGCCACTCATCTCACAATCACAAACAAAATTTGGTTTGCAACTATCACAATTTCAAACAATATTTCAGGTTAAGATGAGAATCCCTGTCCCTCCACTGACAACCAACACATCTGTTAAATCTCTGACAATTTGACTTTAGATGATATTAAATGTGAGCTGTGTGTCGCCTGCAGCACATTCCATACCATTTACAGCTGTGGTTGAACTAGCAGCATTCTGGACTGGTGGTGTGTTCGTCAAGGATAAAACATTTGCAATGATAGGAGCAGCTTCTTTCCGCTGGCCACTGGCAACATTTGATACAGTTACTGTCAAAAGAAGGCAGCATTTATTAAACAAAACGTTCAACAGCTAGGCAAACGTTTCCAAATCATCTAGTTCACCTGATTTATCAAATGATATTTGTCAGTCTTTTTTATTACTCCAATCAGCTCAGTTTAAGGACTGATTTATGGTTTTGTACCAAATTGAAATGCAACAAGTTATCATTTTAGCTTGCATAGGAGGATGCAATGACTTTTACAAATCTAGTTCTGTAAATGTTACCGCATAATTACAGTACAATTTACATCAGGAAGTACGCCTCAAAGCATTTCACACAGGTAACTGGACACCTCGGAGTTCTCAAAATGTGGAAAAAAACAAATTTGGGACAGGGGTATCAATGCACTGCTCTCTCCCAGTTCTTTGCTGCAGAGGCATGTGTGATTCCAAGTGATTCCAACCTTAGCATAGTGGACAAGGCCATCTCGGACCATTTCCTCATCTCCTTCTCCTCTCACATCCCTCTCTCCTCCACCAAGTCCTCAACCATTCTCTACCGCCCCTGGAAAAGGCTACCCCCTGAGACCCTCACAAAGGCCCTCACATCCTCAAATATCCTATCCCCCTGACCTTCCACTCGCAGAGATCCTGAAGAGGCCGTCCAGCTGCTCCATGATCGCTTCTCCTCCACCTTCAACTCTCTCGTCCTCCTGAAATCCAGGACCATCTCCAAACCCACCCGATCCCCCGGTACAACAGTCATCTCCACTCCCTAAAAACCCAAACCCGGCTGCTCGAGCGCAGATGGCAGAAAACTGGCCTGACAGTTCACCACCAACTGTGGCTCGAGCATCTCCACAGCGACCGCTGTTCTTTGACGCGTGCAAAAACGGCCTTCTACTCCAACATCATCTGGAGGCAAAAAAGAACCCTAAAGTCTTTTTTCCCCCACGACCCACTACCTCCTCCATGCGCCCCCTCAGGCCACCTCAATCTTCACATCAAATGCCACGTGCGAGGAGGTCATGGACTTCTTTTCATCCAAAATACATAACATCCACCAGGCAGCCTCATCCTCCTGCGTCTTGTCACCCACCACCACACCCTCTCCGTCCCCCTCACCCGCCCCATCATCAGCTCCTACCATGACCCCTATCCTACATTCCTTCCTCCCCATCTCTCCCTCCTCTCTCTCACCCACCATCACTTCAATGAAACCCACCACCTGCTGCCTCAACCTCCTCCCCACCAACTTGCTGGTCAACCAGCTCCCCCTCCTCTGTCCACAACTGGCTGATGTCATCAACCAGTCCCTCTCCTCTGGATCAGTCCCTGCCTCCCTCAAAACTTTTGTCATCACCCCCCTATTCAAAAAACCCTCCCTAGAACCCTCAAACCCCAGCCCCTACCACCCCATTTCAAACCTGCCCTTCCTTGCCAAAGTCCCAGAACGCGTTGTTGCCAATCAACTCCGCGCACACCTCTCCTCCCACTCCCTCTTCGAACCCCTCCAGTCCGGTTTCCACCCACAGTAGAGAGACTGCGCTTGTGAAAGTCACAAATGACATCCTCTCTATCTGTGACCAGGGCTCCCTCTGCCTCCTGGACCTCTCCGCTGCATTCGACACAGTCAATCACATCATCCTCCTCCGCCGCCTTTCCTCCGTCATCCACCTCAGTGGGACCGCACTCGCCTGTTTCGAATCCTACCTCACGAACCGCCAGCAGTACATCTGCACAAACGGCTTCTCCTCCCGCTCTCACCCGGTCACCTGCGGGTACCCCAAGGATCCATCCTTGGCCCCCTCCTCTTTCTGATCTACATGCTCCCTCTAGAGGATGTCATCCGCAGACATGGGGTACCCTTCCACATGTATGCAGACGACACCCAACTCTATTTTTCCACCTCACTTTGCGACCCCCAGTCCCCTGATGTTCTGTCAGCTGCCTGTCAGACCTCAGGAGCTGGATGAGCATGAATTTCCTTCAGCTAAATGTTGACATGACGGAAGCCATACTCTTTGACTCTTGTCAGCATCTAAAATCACATGGTTTTCACCTCCTCCACACACCTGACCTCCCCTTAAAACTCTCCGAACCCGTACGCAACCTAGGCGTCAGGTTCGACCCCCAATTATCCTTCCTCCCCCACATCTGGTCCCTCACTTTCACCTCCGACGCATCGCCCGTCTCCGCCAATACTTCATTCCAAAACCCGCTGAAACCCTGGTCCATGCCTTTGTCACCTCTCGGCTGGATTGTTCAAATGCCCTCCTCATCGGTCTCCCCTCCACTACCATTCACAAAATCCAGGTCATCCAAAACTCTGCCGCCTGCATTTTTACCTGCAACAAACTCCGCTACCCAATTACCCCAGTCATTGCCAACTGCACTGGCTGCCTGTTCCAGAGAGGATCGACTTCAAGATCCTCCCTCTTGTCTTCAAATCCCTCCACTCCTCTGCACCCCCCGACCTCTCTGACCTCCTCTCTACTCACAACAATGCCCATTGCCTTCGCTCCACCGGGTCTGGCCTCCTCCTTGTCCCCCGAGTCCTCCGCTCTATCATCGGTGGCTGTGCTTTCAGCCACTATGCCCTGAGGCTCTGGAACTTCCTTACTCACTACCTTCGCCTCTCCCCCTCTCTCCCTATTTTCAGGTCTCGGCTGAAGACCTTTCTTTTTGACTGTGCCTTTGATCACCTTCCCCCGCCCTCCCCCTGGCTCGGCTCCGGGATCCATTACTGTGAAGCCCTCTGAGACGCCGTCCGGTGTGGAGGGCACTATATAAATCCAAGTTGTTGGTACAATAGAAGTGATCGAATTGCGAATTGCGCAGTGGAGGGCAACATTCCTCATTGTTAAATGGGATTTTCCGTAAACAAGCTGCTGGCAGGCTGCTTTTGACAGTACATTTAAAGCATCGCAAGTAGAAACAATGGACATGTTACAGGTGCTCATTAGGACATTTAGGACTAAGTGGCGATTCACAGGAACAGAGGAGGTTATTCATTCATTCATTGAATCATCCTGTTTCACAAGTTTATTAGATCTTGTCAGATCTTTTAATCCCAGTGCTCCGCCCTTTCACCATAACACTTAATAGCATGACAGATGAACAGTCAGATAAATGCTCTTTACCTTTAATCACTCCCACTTATTTATTTTAACACAGTTTGAGCTTTCTGTGGGTTTTGTCATTCAGATTTTGTGCCAATCTAGATATATCTAGATCTAGCCAGCTTCTTTATTATTTTCTGCCAAAGTGAATTACTTTGCATTGCATCCACCTATGGACAGCTGTTGTATGGTAATCAGAAAACCATCACGAAATAATTTACTTTGTTGGGCAGTGTTTCTGTACTGAGGTGCTATACCTTTTCCATCTGGAGATGTTGATTCTGTGAGGTTCTGTTGATTGCAGAATGTTAGTACACAGTGCAGATTACAGAAATTTTTGGTTTCTCCATGCCATTTAATTGAATCACTTAGCATACCCTGGCGTTTGCAACAGTCACACTTGGCCATCTGTAAGAAAACACAGAATGTCAATTTCCAGTCACAATAAATGAAATGGATCATTGACAGGGGTCTGCATGACACAAATGACTAGATTTCTATCACGTGTCTGTAAAAAAAAAACTTACAATTCCATGTTAGAGACTGATATGAGGAACAACGAGTCTTGAACTAATCTCAAGGCACAAATTTGAGAGCAAACAATTCTTAAACTAGATAACCTGTCTTTTTCGGAGCAATGTTTTACTGAAAAATATCTTCACAAATTGCATGCTTGTATAAAACAAATATATTTGTTGATTTCATTTTCCTGTTCCTACAAAATTAACGTCCTCCTAATGTCTCACAAAAGCCAACAGTAAGTCAAAAAACAATGTTAAATTCAAAAATACTCAAAAGCTTAATATAGTGAAAAGCTTTTTAATGGCTTTTGTCAGAAGATAACATTTAGTGCAGCTTCGCCCTCCAGTGGCTGGTACACGGTAACTGTCTCTGTAGTCGATTATTTAATGAGATTTAAAGATTATACAGTAAACTCTTGATATTGTATATATTGTCACTCCAAGGGAAAAGAGCTCAGCAACTCTATATCCGGGGTGACCATGTAGGCACGAATCCTTCGGGGGCCATGAGTGTGCGCTGTAGCCGGCAGGAGCTACACCAACACACACAGAGCGAGCAGCTGTCAGTTTACTTGTTAAAACTCATTTACGTTAAATACAGTATAAGTTTGCGTGCAGGCATATGGGTCTATATATGCACTTATTTTCTATTTCCTATCGCCTATTCCTGTTACTGTATTGGAAATTGTGCACTTCTTGGGAGATGTATTAAAGCGTATTAAAGAGGATACTGTATTTCCAGGTTCTAGGTGAACACCAAACATCTTTATGTAAAACAATTTATATAAAACAAAATACACTGAACTGTATTTTCAACATGATTTTCAACATGACAACACATGGCACAGTCAGATATCACATATCCATCCTACCAATGCACAACTTTCCCTCTCCAATGGGCAAGATACTGTATTTCACAAAAGAGCTCAGGTGAGTTTAACCATCTTGCCACTCTGTCATTCTAGTAATATAATTAAGAGCAATATTGCTGAGAGCCACAAGACAACTCAAATCAGAAAGTAAAAAAAGCTCACAAGATGCTGTAAATGATCTGTTTTCTTGGGAAAAATAGTCCATGATAGTCAAAGTCAGACTATCGATATTTTCCCACAATATCAGGCTGCTCATTGCAAGTTCACTGATCGCATGACTGGCTGAGCGGCAAGGGTAAGTGATATATCTGATATTTTACTTCCTGGGATGTATAAAATGACTTTATACATTATAAGCAAGTGATGTAATTTTGCACGGGAAGCAGCCACGATATTAACAGCATGATGATCTACAAGTCATAACGATATAAGCCAGGGTCTTATTATCAGAAGTTCGCTTAATACATCTGAAACTCTTGTCCAAATCCAGCCCTCCAACAAGTCTGAAACACATAATACCTCAACTTTTGTCTGTTTCAGGAACTCTCTTTCAGTTTATGTGCATATTCAATTTAGCTTACACAAGCTTAAAATGAGATATGGACGTTAGACAACTCTTACAGCAAAAGTCCCCTGCTGAGAGGAAATGCTTTCATTTCCTTTAAGAAAAAAAAATCAGTTTGAAGAGTTTTGCTCTGCATCCAGATCTTGTACATGATCTGGGAGTGCTTGGGAAAAGTTTCATTTCAGTGTGAAAATTCCCCAAACAGTTACATTAATATTAATTGTTATATTAATACTGAGAGCCACTTGAATAGAACAGTTTTGTTACCTGATAGAACAGCACCGCGAACTTAGATAAGCATTCCTCGCTGCAGAACTCTTCCTTTTTCCCTCCAAACTGCTGAGTGAGCAATCGTCTTGAGGATTGTGAACAGGAACTACATGATTTACAGTGAGGTCCCCAACGTTTTGCCAAGTCATGCTTGTAAAGTAGCTTGCAACCTGCCGATGCAACAACGAAAGAGATGGATTAACATCCTGCTTAACGCCTGGTGTTAATGTACAGTGCTGATCTGCAGGATCAGATACCTTAATCTAATCAAATCATTTCGACCAGTTCAGTGGAACCTGTACCACCTGGTATACACACCAGGAAGAGCACAGGCTTGTTCAGATAGGTTGAGTTTGTCAATCTTAACCAGGAAAGCACGAGAGGATGACAATCTATTCCCCTGCTGATCACTACATATCACAGTCATTGAAAATGACCATTTGTGAACACTGAGTGAGAATAGATTGATTGAATACGTTATAATACTTCAATTTGAAATAGCAGCTTACCACGTCATGGAGACGTTTCAAAGGACTTCATAGGATACACTGTAAAGTGGTTTTGACTGTATTTTGTGAGCAAAACACAGCAGTGGAGTGTCAGCTTAGACTATGTGATTCCAAGTAACGATGTGGGGGCTTGAACCCACAACCTTTTGACTCAGAGGTGAGAGTGCTAACACTGCATCAAGTATTCACATTGGTTAATCAAATCGCCCATCGTTCACATACAGATAGTGGTCACTTGGCCTTGGGCACTGGAAGGATGCCAGCACCCATAGTGTCAGTGCTCTTGCCTTGGAGTCAAAAGCTTGTGGGTTCAAGTCTCATGTCAGGACTTGGAATCACATATTCTCCAATGTGGTGCTGGGTGATGCCATCCTCCGGATGAGACATTAAAATGAGATCCAGTCTACCTGTTCAGGTGGATGCTAAAGATCCCATGGCATTATTTGAAAAGAGAAGGGAGTTTCTCCCGGTGATCTGGCCAATAAATTCCACAAATAAAACTGAACACTAACATGGTTGTTAGTGGGACAATTGCTGGGCGCAACATACTGCCGCATTTCACTCACAAAATACAGTCAATTCACTTGACAGATATCCTGTGAAGTGCTTTGAAATATCTCAATGACGTGGTAAACAATCCTTCCATTTGATATAAAGCCTTATTATCTCAGGGTAGAACATTAGAGAAGATGGATAACAAATAAAACATTGATTGTGTTGCATGGACACAGTTTGAATAAAAAAAACTGTCTTATAAAATACAGTGCATAATTATCTACCAGATAATTATCTACCAGGCTTGTCTTAATAAAACATGTGTCTAAAATGACAAGCTACTGTACTCTTCTGTGTAATAAAATCAAACCACACTCCTCCACCTTTCCCTGACCGTATGCCTCCAGATTCCATCTGGGAGACCCGTGTTTAAATTCCAATGACTAATGAGTTTATTTAAGTTTCCTCCAGAGGGCAGACTAAGCTAGCCTTGGCTTGTGTGCAGAGAAGAGAAAATGAAGGAAAGCAAGTTTGGCATGGCATCAGGTCTATATCTCGCAAGTGCACTACCAAAGGAAAAGCATTGTATTCATTCAGCATTCTCCAACAGGGAGATTAAAAAGTTAGATACATTTCAAACCCTTAACTGGCTAGTACTGATGGCCACTGATACTTTTGAACAGTGTTAGCTGGTTAGAATCCAACAGTATCCTATTGAAAATTGAAAAGCAATTTCCAATCTGTTTGGCACAAACAACAATGTAGTGTAAGGGAGATTGTGCAGAAGACTGATGCAGCATTAATTTTACTGATGATACAAATTTAATTTAGGTCAGGTCACTATATTTAGGTTTGTTGCAATATTTTGCTTCTTCCTTCTTCACCTGCTTAAAAGTTGTCCATTACCTTCACTACAAAATGACCTGTCAACGCCTGAAAACTTTAGGGTCTCCTTGACAATCTTTTCGGATCTACAGTATTCGCACACCGCAACCACAGAGTTAATCCGCTTGTATTCATCACAGCAAGCCCTGCCACAGAACGGAACCATTTTACTCTGTATGGGAGGGGGGAGAGAAAATACAACAAAAGTGAATGTGGTGCCCTGGGGAAAAAAGCCAATTTAACCTTTCATTTGAGAAAATACTTTTTTTAAAGAAGTGACGAAACTAAATTCAAACAACCCGGAGAAAGAAATGGTTAATTTATGATCGATCGCATCTTTTAACAACTTTCACTACAATAAATCTGTTATATTATTCACGTTAAAAATCTATTCCCACACCAAATGTTGAAGCTTAGCAAAATTCTTCACTTGTTTGCTGAACGTACAACCAATTACATAGAGGTAAGTTATTTAAATTTGCAGCCAACATAGACTCACTGCACAGTCACCACACTTTACAGTAATCCTGTGAAGCGCTTTGAGACCTTCACAACGTGAAAGGCGCTGTGTCAAATGTATGGATTATTATTGTTAGTGTAATTTGGCCATGTAAAATTTAAGATGTTGAGTTTGGATACTGTGATTTTTTTGAATATTGGGTTTTATTGTATGAGAATGACAAAATGTTTTGTAAATCAGGCATTTACTTTAAGAGGGAAGTTTCACTGCCGGAATCAACTTTTCACGCTTTCAGCCACTAGACCCCAACACTTTGGAACACTCTCCCTCAATCCCTCTGCCTTGCCCCCTCTCTCCACTTTTTCAACCTTCCTTTACGAACGTGCTTACGGCCACCTCTCCGCCCAGCTCAGAATCAGGCTCCTCCACTTGTAAGCGCTCTGAAATGCTACCCTGTGTGGAGGGCGCTGTATAAGAGCAAGTTGTTGTTGACATCAAGAACACTAACTTGTGCCATGTCAGTGCCCCCAATGAAGTCACTAGCAGTCAACAGGACGATTCAATAGAAATAAACAGATTGAAACAAATGATTAATCTTATTTTTGATCATGCTAATTAAGTAGGCAGTGAGCCAAAAAATGGCAGCAGTAAATGGTTTCATTGTAAACCCATTCATGATGATGTTTCTACAAACTTACAAGTGAATTAAACTGTTCAACAAAGCTAATTAGTTTACACAATGGAGTGGTGGTTATACATCTTATATCATTTTTTCAGCTTTGTTGGAATACTGCACTATGCGCTTATCAAACTGGTTTTTCAATGTAGCAAGTGCTATTGCATAACCGTCCACAACTGACTCCAAACATTTACATATGCTATCATTGGAATTGGCAAGGGGAACTTTCCCACAGGAAGAAAAAAACACAAAGAATGACTTAGGAACATAGGAATTAGGAGCAGGAGTAGGCCATTCGGCCCCTCGAGCCTGCCCGGCCATTCAATAAGATCATGGCTGATCTTCTAACCTAACCCCATCTGCGGACTTATCCCCATATCCCTTAATCCCTCTACCCTTTAGAAACCTATCAATTTCAGTCTTGAATATGTATATGACTTGAATATGACTGAACATGACTTGAGACGACCCTTTGAATTCTTTACCCTCAAAAAGCTTCACTGCTCTATCATCACACAGAGGATACAGTTCAAGATCCTGGTCTTCACCTTCAAAGCCCTGCATGGTCTTGCTGCCCCCTACCTCTGAGTCTTCCTAACCCTCTACTAACCTGTCCACTTCCTCCGCTCAGCGGGCTCCGGCCTGCTTCACGTCCCCCACTTCGCTCACCCCACCATTGGCGGGCAGGTCTTCAGCCACTCTGCCCCAATCCTCTAAAACTCCACCCCGCAATCCCTCCACCTCACCCCCTCTCTTGCCTCCTTCAAGACCCGTCTCAAGGCACCTCCTCTTCAACAGTGCCTTCGATCACGCTCCTTTTCCCCACCTTCCCTCCACCCTCCCCGATCCCCAGCTCGGGTCTAAAACACTGATTGTCCTGTGCCTTGGGACGTCCTCCTGACGTGAAAGGCACTACAAATGTAATTTTTTGTTGTTGTTGCCCTGAACCACGTAGACGTGTTGAACATTACAGCACAGAAACAGGCCATGCAGCACATTAAGTCTTGGCTGCCGTTTTCCTCCGCATGAGCCATCCAGTCTAATCCCAGTGTCCTGCTCGCTCTCTCCAGACATTTAATATTGTGTTTATCGTCCATAATGTCACTGGTCATTTTATTCCAAACAAAGGCATGCAAACTTTGAATCAGATGCTCTTACCTTGTACTCGAGAAGTTCTGGCTTCAAGGATAATACTCTCTGGCAATACTGGCATTTCAACCGTATAACTGGCCGAGGCACGGTCACCTTCTGGGACTGCGCGAGCCTCTGCAGCCCCGCTGCCGCCGAAGAGGTGACAGAAGTTGTAGTTATGACAGGAGAACCGGTCACAACTGACGTGCCTGGAGGAATGTTTACCGTTACCTGTCCTGGGGACAGAGGGACCACAGTCTGCGAGCCTGGAGCTGCCTGGTTAAATAAACCCTACGGGTAACAGACAATGAAAAAGATTTTAAAAAAACAAGACTTTTAGAAACTTTACACGACACAACTTCCTTGATCCTAAAGGATGATATTCTGATGAGTATCCGGTAACTGCAGGTTACAAGAAGCCATCAATCACAAAACTCAGAAGCAAAACCAGTCAGACTGCAGAGCACACAACAAGAACATTGGCATTTTGTTTACTTGTCACTTGGACAAAATCTATTATACTGTATGTGTGAAATTTGTGCAGCTTTGCAACACTATGGTCACATGTACTGACCATTGTTACAACTATACTCAAAAATACTTTGCAGGTTTTAGAGATGTGAGCATACCATAAACACTTGGTTAACACTATTGTCACTCAGCTGAGAGGCAACTGAGACAAAAGCACAGGACCACTGGAACATTTAAAACTTTGATCTTGTACTTTACATGAAACTGGCTTTCATAAACAATTGCAACAACATTGAGTGGTATCGATTGGGAATAATTTAACAATACATTTGAATAAACTGATCACTTTATTTTAGAGCAATGCTTTTGGGTGAAGAATTAAATCGACGCCCTGTCTACTTCTTCTGGTGAATGTTAAAGAGCCCATGTACTATTCGAAAAGAGAAAGGAGTTTCTCCCGAACGACCTCACTATGGATCTTTTATGTGAGACCTTCCTAGCTGTTAAGTTTGCTCAACTACACCTGGTTGATTACAGAACACCAGAGCACCCCATCTTTTCCCTGTCTCTTCCTTAATCTCCCATACAATAACTGCATGTGGAATACAATTAGAAAATAAACAGCTATATGAATTAGTGCTTATACCAGTCTCTCTGCTCTCCTCCCCCACCTTCCTCCCACGCAAGTTCCCAATTGCAGTATCAAGGTGATAAGTGAGTTCAGGAGTTTGCAAAACTGTACCTGAAATGAAGCCACACAATTATAAGTGCAGAAATTCCGGATACTGCCATCAGACATCGCAAGATGGTACTGAGGAGTTGTGGTGACTTTACAGTAATGGCACTGAACACTGGTTCCTAATCAAGCAAATAAAGGAGACATTCTCACAATACACTCGATAACCTTACATCAGCCTAATACCAGGCCTGAACACCAGGCCAGTGTGTAAAACAAGAACCATCCTGCTAGCTATCTTACACTGAACCTGTTTTCATCAAGATGTTCAACTGTGCTCCTAGCAGCACAACAGTTTGCACAAATGGTTTTCAGAAAGGTTAATAAATAACTGGTGCATTATTCACAACCTTTGCAATTTGTTTTTGGTTCAACCTATTTTTCTCCCTTTTTTCTCTCATGAAAGCACCAACACCAAGGTACTGGTTCCATGCATGGCCTCCCACCAATGTCTTCCTCAAATGACAAAGGCCTTCCTACATACATGAGGCTAGACAGTGAGCAATGCAGGGAGGCCAATCATGCAGGTAAAACAGCTGACCTTGATTCTGCCCTCAACCAATTCCAGGACTCAGCTTTCCGGTAGCAATCAATGGATAATAATCAGGAGCAGAAACCATGGCTGATTTTACCTCTCCTCACACCTAGAAAATGAACCCAATTATACTGCCCCAAATTGCTCCCTAGGATGAGATTAGCCTGCTCAGCAGATTGGAAAACTAATGTCAACTTTTTTGTCTGTATGAGTTAGTACAACAGTGGGCTAAGGTTTTGCCCACTGGGCCACCAGAGGAGTTGACTATTGTTTAAAAGTAATTAAAGTATCACTGCTCATGTCCAAAACAGAAGAATTTAAATCTACTTTGGATAGGGCTAACCATCTCAAACTGAAGAAAAGCAAATCCATTTCCTTTCAACCAGCACATAAAAAAGTATTGAATTAACCATCAACTGTTCAAAGAGAGGCCTTTACAAATGCAACACTTAACGTTTGAAGAAATTAGATTACTACCTTGTGTAGTTACCATTTGCACTCGGTAAGCTGAGAGGCAGTGCACTGAGCAAAATAGTTCAACTTTTCCAAAAGAGTTGGTGTTTTCAATCATCTCCAAGGACGACCGCAGAGATTTACACCAAGTGCAGGGAGTAATCTTTACCATTTTCTGTTGAAGAAACCAGACAGCGTCAGAAAAAACTAGAGAAGAATTTAGATGACAACATTATCACCAGTGAATTAAACCGCAAGGGCTATTGATAATGATAACAATGATGGTTGGTGAAGGGAGGTGGAATTTTTGCCCTTTTCTTTTATGCCTAGAAATGTTAGTGACTGAAAGTTCAGGGTAATGGGCTTGGTGCTTCAATAAATTAATTAAAAATAAATAAAATGTCCGACATCATACAGGGAGTTTGATGCAGAGGTGGGATTCAATCTTGTTACCCTCTTTTCTGATTGGCTTAGTTCTGCACTATATTACCTTTAAGAAACAGTAATCAACATCCAGAACACATTACCAAGGATAGTCAAATAGAACTGGACTGGTTTAAAAAGAGCTGTAAGGGGCAGACAGTTGGGCTCTTATTGTGGAATAATGAGACTTAATGGACCAAAGAATATTCTTGATCAAAATCTTTGTTGGGCTCAGATTCAATGACCTCAACAGTCAAAACTGTCAACACTCACTGTCTCAACCTCATATATAAACAATGGCCTCATAGGTGATGTAACAAAGGATACCTGGCAATCGTGGAGCCATATGGCGGCACAGGTCATTTTCAGATGCATAGGGGAGAAAATTGGAAGTGAAAATTATTGGAAGTAAAAAAAAATGACTGGGACATGGTACCAAAATAATTCATATCACTAAGCTGAATATCAAGTTTGAGACTGAGGAGAGGGAGAGAATTGGATTCTAGTTTTGCTACATTCCACTTCAATAAAAAAAGTGTAACAAACCTGTTTGAATGTAGACAAGCAAGATGAACTGCAGAACTTCTTACACTGCCCTTCAGACTGCAGCACATGGCACTGTGCAGATCCACTGTAACAGTAGGCTCCACAGTTATCGCAACAATTCATGGTGAGATTGTTAGCCATTCGGAAATTGGAGAAACATGCATCACTACAAAGTTTGTGTACCACATTCTGGTAGTTAACTTCATGGCGAACCTGAAGCAGTAAAACATTACAATATCAGACCATTATAATGATTCCACAGTAACATTAATCAGAAACATGTGGCTATAATAATGATAGGAGTGTTCACACACACAGTTTTGCAGACCTGCAGTTTTCCACATGGAGAAACCTCTATTCCCATCTAGACTAACACTCCAGGATAGTACTAAGGGAACAATACATTGTCATACATTTTTTCAGATAAAATGTGAAATCGAGGTCCTGCCTCCCTAAATGTTAAAAGATCCCATGGCACTACTCAAATATATCAATGTTTTGGCCACCAATCCTCCATATAATAATAATAATCCTTGTGTTTGACATACTACGTCTTTGAGATGTCTCAAAGCGCTTCACAGAATATACTGTAAACTGAAATTACTGTATATTTTGTGGGGGAAAGATAAATATATGGTTTGTAAGATCTTGCTGTGCACACATTGGCTGCCATGTTTGCCCCCAAAATATAGTTACTGCACTTGCCATCAATTGCCTATGTCAAAGTAAACTATTAATGAACTGATGGGGAACTAAACTGATGCAGATTGCAGTACGTCCACTGGTAACAATTGGAAAATTAACCCCTATAATGACACCCATTCTCATCCATGTCTCCTCCAAAAAGCAAACAAGGAAGATGTCACTCACTATGTTACACTTCAAACCAATTCCTCACCAAAAAGAAAGCAAAACAACACTTCTATGTTTCACAAAACCTTCTGTTACAATTAGAAAAATGAGAGCTCTCACAATAAACTTTGATTGATTGATAATGAATTGAAGTTTGCAGAGCAAAAGTTACACACTGTACAAGAAAGGGCAGCTAAGATTGACAGCACAGAAGAGATCTGGAACTTACAACAGAGACTTTCTGACAGATGCTGCACTTAGTAGTAATATTATTCGTTGTTGATGCAGATTTTCTTTTCATCTCAAACAAGCAGGCCTGGTTACAGAACTCTTTGTACGGGCGTCTGCCATCGACCTGACCCATCACCATCTCCTTTGAGTTTAAAATTTCACTGAAAAACAGTAAAATTGAATAAATATTCCTTCTCTCTGTGGTTTTTTTTTTGCACGGCTCCCATCTTTTTCTCCCTTTTTGTCCGGAATGTCAAGATTACGTCCTTCTTTGTGGCTGCTGCTGATGCCACTCTGTGTGCAAGTGAGAAGGGCAACAGCTGATCACTGTATGTACTTAGGAGGTCCACCTGATGTGAAAGGCGCTATAGAAATGTAATTTTGTATTGTATAAACTGCAGCAGGTTTAGCTCTTGTAAAAATCAAGAGATAAAAAGAACAGCACTGAAGTTAACGAGAGGTAGACTACAGATATACTACTAAAGGAGATAATAATAATCCTAGATATATACTTAAGCAAAACAAATTTGCAGGGCTATGGGGAGAGCAGGGGAGTGGGATTAATTTGGACAGCTCTTTCAAAGAGCCGGCATGGACACGATGGGCTGAATGGCCTCTTTTTGTGCAGTATAATTCTATGATTTGATACAGCACCTTATCACGTCTTCGAGAGGTCACAAAGTGCTTCACAGAATATACTGGAAAGTGAATTGACTGTGTATTTTGCTAGGAGACTAAAGGCAGGTCTTACTTGTTGCAGTGATAGCAGGATTTCTTTGCGGTGGGCAGAGGTCGAGTCGATGCTGAGAACCCAGTAAGACAGACAGTGGAACAGAAGAGCTGCGCCGAACCTTTCCTCTGATAAGCAGTCTGCCCCTTCTGTAGGATCTTCTTGCACCCTGAACACGTTACCCGTACACTTACAGGAGGGGCTGAAGGGGGTGCATTGCCCCCAGTGGGTTTCGCTGTGCTGGGAGCACTGGGTGTGCTCTGCTGCACCAGCTGTGATGCTGCAATAAGAGGGAACAATCACAACAAAATCAACACGCAGAAGAATAAACTGCGACACACACGTTTTTCAGTGCCTGACCCTCTTTTTCTCAGTTATTTTCTGCCCTACTTTTAATTTTACACGCTCTCCCTGGTCCCCTCAAGTGCGGCTGATAAGGCAGATGGGCGATCCATTTCCAGGTCCTCACTAATGTTACGTTCAACCATTGAAAGGGAAGTGCGAGCTTTGGAGAAATAAATCTTTAATTTCTTTGATATTCTCTCTCGCTCTCTACAGGAAAGTATTTTTAATGATGTTTCTCTATTTTTAGATTATCATTAGCTTAATGGAAGGGTGGTGGGGGGGTGGGGGGCTGTTGTAAATATAAATCCCTCTAATCTGCAGCATTGTGTATTTGTGCCCCAGACAATGTACTGCCACATTGGTGCATCCTTTTTATAACACATCATTGCGTTATAAAACATGTTAAACGTATACTCACGGGGTTATAGGGGCTGTAAACTGTTCAGTTTAATGTAAATACAATATTGTAAAGTGAGTGAATTGCATTTTGCTGAGCTCCAAAGCCAATAAAAATCTGGCTCTGCTCCACATCTAGCTCACTGTCATGGCTGTACTTTTAACAAGCTCCTTGAATCATTGCAATAGCTTATCTATAGTTTATTAAAATACATTCTGTGTGATTTGGCATGTGTACAGAATTGTTTTTATGCATCAAAGAGAATTCAGCACAAGCTATAAAATTTAAAAGCCTACATAGGCACAAAACTATCATTCGCCATTCCTCAGTAATGAAAATAAATACTTTGTTAATAACCATGTTTGCATGGTTCTGTAACTGTTACAAGAGCTCAGAGGAGACATTATTTTGTTCACTCAGTAAAATCCCACTGTAAATAATGCAAACACTAAAGTCATGATGAAATAAGATGTAAAATTACATCAAATTCTGACCAATGTGCAGAGAGACCAATGTCATGGGCCATGTGTTGTTAAAAGTGCTGATCTTTCTTCTGTGCCCTGGTATTCTGATTCTGTAATTAAACAGTTACACACAGAAACAGGGTGCAAAGCAGCTTAAATATACAAACTGTCTGCTCCTGTTACAAAATTCGGTCACAAAAAACTTGAATCCATTTTCAAAACAATGAAAGAAAATTAATAGCCTAGTTTCCTTTTTCTTACAGATACAGCTAGAAATCTTTTTAGTTACAAAAGACCTGAAATGCTTCATTGTAAAGAACCAAACAAAAGAAAATGTTGGAGGAAATCCACTTAGGAGACTGATCCTGTCGCATAATATTGTAGATTTTTTTGAAGCATTAATAATACTTACATTTAATATTGGGCCTTATTAAGTCTTCGAGATGTCTCAAAGCGCTTCACAGAATACACTGTAAAGTGTAGTGGCTGTGTTTTGTGGGCGAAACGCAACAGCCAATTGAATACAGCAGTGTCCCACAGTTGTGGATTGAGTGACCACATTATTATTATTATTTTGAAGGGATTATTATCCCTTGAAAGCGATCCGGAAATTGACTAACAATCGGGTTCTTACTTACTGCTTGGTGAACAGAGTCATGTGTTTGGAGTAAGGAAACTTGCCCAACGTTTTACCCTGCCCGGGAATCAAACCCAGATCCTCTCGCTTTTTACATTGTTTTTACATGGCATACTTGGGGACAACCTAATTTATATTGAGCAACATTGGTCTCAGATTTCACAAAGTGTAGCCTTACCAAGGGGGCTGCTACTCACTGAAAACACCGCACTGATGCGAATATCAGAATCGTTAGGCTTTGGATGCTGAAACAAAAAGTAAACAGAGATTTTCATTCCTTTGTGAGCATATGTGTCACCTGTGTTAACTTTTACATTATATTACTATAAAATGACGCTGGCAGAAAATGGAAGTGTACAATAGTATATGAGAGGCATGTTGGTTCATAAGAACAAATCTTGTCAGAGTGGGCCTGGCAGGCTTCAATACGGCGAAGGGAATGGAGGAACTATGGAGCTCCTTCAAGAAGGTGATTATGAAAGCAATGGAACAATGTATACCCACGTCAAGCAACTCATCAAGGGGAAAAAAAAGGCATTTAAGACCATGAAAGAAAGAGCGCAGAATTAAGTCAGGTTCGATACCAAAAGGCAAGTCATGACTGTAAAAAAATGCATGAGAATGGCAAAGAAAAACTTTGAACTGAACATGGCAAGAGATGTGAAGGATAATAACAAAATGGTTATCAATTACATTGAAAGAAAAACAACAGCAAGAAAGTGAATGACCATTTTCATTTGGGGGATTGTTGGCCAGGACACCGGGAGAGAGAAACTCCCTTCTTTTCACGATTAGCGCCATGGGAATTTTAACAGGAACCTTAACATCTCATCGTAAGGACGGCACCTCTTGCAATGCAGTGCTCCTCCAAGACAGTATTGGATGGTCAGTCTAAGTTCTGAGTGCAAAATCCTGACATGGGCTTGAACCCACAATCTTCTGATTTTGAGATGAGAGTGCTGTCATCTGACTCGGGCTTACTTTTAATCCTGAATTCACTATATTTTGTGCAGTAAAAACAAACCTGATCTTACCTGTAAACAATCCGGTTCATCCTTGACCCTCAAACTTGATTGGGGAGCCAAGGCCTTCTCATACTCTTCATCCAAAGGTTCGTCCTTTATTTTCATAGTTGACATGCTTTTGGGACCCTCGCTATTCCTGCGTAAATCTGATTTCTTTTCCTAAAATCAAAATGTGAAACAAAACCATTTTCCTCTGAAGGATTTTTCTTTCAAAAAGAACTGAACAACATACAGCGCACCAAACATCCCTGGAAACTTAGGCTGGGTGAGATCATAATTCATTAACAGGCTGTGCATTTAACTCACATCTGCTGTTTCAAGCTTCCTTGTTTTACTTCCAGTTGGGATCACTGGCTAGAGGAGCACAAGGAAAGAACCAAAGGAAATCATGTCTCACTGATCTACAGGTTAGGTTAAAGGATTCCATTCAACTGAGTTGAAGGATCGGAGACAAATCCTCCGTCACAAAAATTAAATCCATACTCATGGAAAATTCACTCAGAACCAGTTACACAGTTCTAAAGAGAAACATGGCTTTTTAAAAAAAATTCCAATTCAATAAAATCATCATTGTCCCTACAGATAACAAACCCGGGACTTTCCTTTCTGTGTTGCTCAATGCCATGCTGGAGCGCATATATCTAATGTCCAGGCGATGAAAAATATTAAAGCCTCTTCTTAAAGGTCCTAAATGATGCAAATCATTGAACTGTTTGAGCAGATTTACCACAGCATCCCAAATTTGTTTTCCTCCCACAGTTTCAGCTTATATTGTTCAACACCATCGATTTCATTCTTATTCTGACAGTATGATAGTTATTTAATAATCATTCATCTTCCCCCACTCCCACCATCACTTACCACTGCTGCCCCAGGAGACGCTGCTTCTGCTATCACAGTTGTTTCCTGCTCAATAATATCAATGTCTGATGTTTCATCTATAAATCAGAAAACTTGTTAAAAGTGCAATTTGCAACAAAAAGAGATAATCCTTGCATTTGATATAGCGACTTATCACGTCATTGATATGTCTCAGAGCACTTCGCAGAACATACTGTAAAGTGAATTGACTGTGTATTTTGTGGGCGAAACACGCACAGAATGGAGAGAATAGCATCCAAATAGTTGGAAGTAATGTCACATTTCACAAAGATATTTTGTGGGAGAAACGTGGTAGCCAATTGCGCCCAGCAATGCCCCACAAACAGAGTAGATTGAGTGACCAGCATTATTACCTCCTGGAAAACAATCCACTAATCGACTAACAAATGGGTTCTTACTTAATGCTAGGTAAACAGGTAAACAAATGAAGTAAGGAAACTTGCCTGCCCAGGAATCGCACCCACTTGCTTGCAAGGCGAGTGTTCTAACCAATACGCTACAGAACTCCTATGTAAAATAATAAATCTTAAAAACACCCCAGGCACCAACTAATAGTTTCAGAATTATACCTTCCACCTGCCTGTATTTGGCTACTGTAAAGTGGCTGTCTTGGATTAGGCACTCAAACAACCTTTCCTCCCCTCACAGAACTAATTCCATCCATTACTAAGCTGCTGCCAAATCTTTAGAATTGTTAAGAGAGCATTTTTAGGACTTCCATTTACGTCATTTTTGGACATCTTTTTCTGTTAATCCTTCATAATTTTTCACGTTTTCTCCTATGGGGGTGTGGGTCACGCCCAGAAAACACAATGGTTTTAATAATAAAAAAGGTTTATTTGGAAAAGGAAGCTCTGCCTTTTTACATCCAGACTCCCCTTAACGCTCACTCGCTCCCAGTTTTATACTGGTGCTTAATTATCACTTAGGGCTAGTAGCCAATTATCACATAGGGTTGGAACTTGTTAGCTCCCTTGATTGTGGCACCCTTTTACGATGTCACACATGAAAAACAATACACTCCTTTACATTAGGTTGAGCACCAATAACCATAAAAAGCAGTGACAGCCCCCACTCGTGCCAATTGTCTCCTATTCCCTCATGAAGGTTTATGTTGATGTAAATGCATGGTTACTATTTCTGGACATTCTTCTACATGTGAAAATATTGGCTCCAGCAGTGCTAACAGGGTATTTGACGATAAAGGCATCATAGCTGAGCACCATCCGATCCAAAACATCTACACAGGCACATAGATGTACGCATAGATACAGCAGATATAATTTTTTCGTTTGGATGTTTGCTCCTCCAAGTAGCCATCCAAGCTAAACTCAATTCACCTGCTATTTCCCTATCCTCTTCAATATCCTTCCTCGAAGGATAGTCACGAATTACTGCATTAGTCACTGCATAATGATTAAGAAAGGATATCCAGTTGATTTTTTTCAATCACACAGAGCTGAATTTTACTTAGTGTCCCAACCAGAGTCACAGGAGAAATCAGCAAACTCGGCACAGAAAAGAACTGAACCGTAGATCTCCCTGATCTATATCGACCCGTCTCAATGGGTGGAACATTTACCACAGATCTTTTCGAGAGCCCTATTTATCTCAGCCCTAATAATGAATGAGATGTGTTTAGAGCTGCTACAATATTTAACATTACCCACAAATTGGAAAGTTTCAAACCCAATCTCTGTCAGAATTTGCTCTATTTTTTTGCCTGGTTAGACATTTTGACAGTCCTGATGGAGTTACAAACAGAATAGAGTCAAAGCCAGATTTGGAAGGAGTTGTTATTTCCCATATCAGTTTTGCACATTTCCTTAAAAGGTTGACCAACAAGCTGCCTTAATACTGACCATTATGATATATTCGCTAATAGGGCAGAGTATAACACAGGCAAAGAGGCAAGAGAAACAGGTACCTTTTGAATCCTAAATCAAAATGTATTGTAAATTATAATATCTTCATCAGGCTCAAATTGGTAACTAATCATTTTCTTTTGGTCAGCCAGGTGTCTGACACAAGCAGAAACCCATCACAGTGCTTAAGAGTATCCAAACCAAGCTGAGATTTTCATGCATCCCAACTACACATGGAAATCCCAGAGATAGATTGCTGGAATGGAATGCACTCTTTCTCCCTGGAGGGATGCATCCTGGGTGTCCTTGTACACTAGTCACAAAAAGTTAGTATGCAACTAGGAAGGCTAATGCCATGTTGGCGTTCGTTGCAAAACAGTTAAAGTACAAGAGTAGGAAGTTTTGCTGCAGTTGTGTAAAGCCTTGATGAGACCACATCTGAATATTATGTGCAGTTTTGGTCTTCTTATTTAAGAAAGGACATATTCGAGGGGGTGCAGCGTAGATTCACTGGGTTGGTTCCTGGGATGAGGTTGGTTCTGTGGAGTCCTGTAACTCAGTGGTTAGACCACTCGCTTTGCAAGCGAGACACCTGGGTTCAATTCCAGGCAGAGGGTGAAACCTTGGGCAATTTTCCTTACTCCACACAGAGCCTAATAATAATCCCTCCAAAAACAAAACAATAATAAATTGGTCATTTTCAATCCACGACTATTTGGGGGACATTGCTGTGCGCAATTGGCTGCCGCGTTTCGCCCACAAATATACAGTCAATTCACTTTACAGCATATTCTGTTAAGCGCTTTGGGACGTCGAGAAGACGTGAAAAGCGCTATATCAAATGCAAGGATTATTATTATCATTATTAATATTATGAGGGGGTTGACCTACAAGGAGAGGTTGAGTAAATTACGCCTATATTCTCTAGAATATAGAAGAATTAGAGGTGATCTTATAGAAACCTATAAGATTCTTAAGGATCTTGACAGGGTAGTTATTGTGAGATTGTTTCCCGATTGGAGAATCTAAAACTAGGGGTCATAGTCTCAAGATTAAGGTCAGCCTTTTCGAACTGAGTTGAGCAAACATTTCTTTACTCTGAGGGTAGTGAATTTGTGGAATTCTACAACAACAACAATATTTGAATAGCGCTTTTCACATCAGGAGGACGTCCCAAGGCACTGGACAGAGTACAGCATTTCAGAAGGCTGTGGATGCTCAGTCCCTGAACATATTGAAGACTGAAGTTGATAGATTTCTAAAGGATAGAAGGATTAAGGGATATGGGGAAAGGGCGGGTAAGTGGAATTAGGTTAGAAGATCAGCCAGGATCTTATTAAATGGCAGGGCAAGCTTGAGGGGCCAAATGGCCTACTCCTGCTCCTACGTCTTATGGTCTTACCCAATTTCGGAAAGTATTAGGCACAGGTTAGCAAGAGCCAAGGCTTGGGAACCACAGAGTGTGGTTGGGGTAACTGCTGGTCTAACCAGCTAAACCGCATAGCTTGGTGTCCCCCGTGCCCTCCATTGCACCATGGGTTGCCGTGCCTTCAGTCACTGTGCCCTGAAACTCTGACCCTCAGCCTTGCCCCCTCCCTCCCCATCTTCAAATCCCACTTAAAGACCTTCCTTTTTGATTGTGCTTATGGTCACCTCCCCCCTCCCTCTCCCCTTGGCTCGTTGTCAAGACTCTGCCACAGTAAAACGCTCCGGGAGCTACCCCGGGTAAAGGGCACTATATAAATACAAGTTGTTGTTGTCAATGATACTGCTGTCCAGCAAGCTTTCTCGTTACTTGTCCTGTTAGGACCACCCTAGATGTGAGGGCTTTGGCATTGAGGGTTAACAGGAGTTAAGTGGGATAACTCCCTGCCCATAATGACTGGTCTGCCCTTCCAGGTCCTGCTGATGTTTTACTCCTTTTTAACTTGTTTGTCTCTGCGCTGTCATCAGCAGTGCCCTGAAATACTACGGACCCTAATACTTCTGGCTTGGCAAGTTGTCCATTCATCCATCTTCTAAATATACAGTCTAAATATCATAAGACCCACACTGGAACAGATAATGCACTAACACTAATAATAATAATCCTTGCATTTGATATAGCGCTTTTCACGTCGGGAGGACGTCCCAAAGCGCTTCACAGAACACACTGTAAAGTGAATTGACTGTATATTTGTGGGCGAACGCGGCAGCCAATTGCGCACAGCAATGTCCCACAAACAGTCGTAGATTGAAAATGACCAATTTTATTATTGTTTTTGGTTTTTGGAGGGATTATTATTAGGCTCTGTGTGGAGTAAGGAAACTTGCCCAAGGTTTCGCCCTCTGCCTGGAATTGAACTCAGGTCTCTCACTTGCAAAGCGAGTGCTCTAACCACTGAGCTACAGGACTCCTACCTTCGATTTGAAAGCATATTGGCAGATGTTAGAGGAGTGAGCACAAGAGTGGCAGTAATATGTTATAATCAAGTAGCTTGCCAATACTTTCTGTCTTGGCTCAAACTTGAATAGGCACTTGGATGAGGTATCAAAGAATGACGCACCCAACACGAGTCACAGCCCTCAGGAACCTTTTTTAAAAAAGAATATGCATCTCCCACAATGCTTCCTGCATTCTAATGCACAGAGATTATAGGAAGAAGCCCATGTAGATTTCGCCCGCAAAATATACAGTCAATTCACTACAGTGTATTCTGTGAAGAGCTTTGAGATGTCTCAAAGACGTGATAAGGCGCTATATCAAATGCAAGGATTACTATTATTTTTGTGACTTTTCAGAGGCTCATATCCACTGGACATCAAATTAAAATAAAAATGCCAGCCCCAAAAGCATCTATAGGACTATAAAACCTCAGCTTTGCAAGCACAACGCAAGCTTGAAGAACAGCACTTAATGTACCTCCTAGGCACCTCTGGAACTCAACACTGATTTTAACTTCTTCAGATCTTAAACATAGCACCCATCTTCTTTCAGACCCCCTCCCTCTCTTCTATAACCATTCACACATCCGCTGAGTCTCAAGACACATTTTTGCTTTCTATAATTTCCCAATTTTGCCTTCTTTCGACTTGGACAATCAACACCTTTGATCTCGTCATCTTCTGTCCTCCATCTAAATGTTTCCTTTGTCTTTTTTTCCCCACCCCCTTCTTTGCTTGTCGGTATAATCTGCTCCCTTCTAAAATCCCCCAGTTCTGACAAAAGGTCATTAACCTGAAACGTTAACTCATTTGCCTCTCTCCACAGATGTTGCCTGAACCTGCTGCATGTTCCCAGCGACTTATGTTTTTACTCCTTTTTAACTTGCTTGTCTCTTTGCCCTCCCGTCCCCTAATCCAAACAAAGGAAATTGGAAGCAGCTTATTCACATCACCCAGCAGACCTGGCTGATAACGTTCCAAGTTAAATAGCGGCAGCCCTGGTTGTTACTATTCTTAAACCTTTTTGGTTTCGCACTTAGAGAAAAGCAGAACTGAAGACTGTCAGAGGAGAGATAATAGGAAAGAGATTTTCTTAGTTACTGGGAGTTTTCTTCAACAAAAACAAAATAAACCAAGACAGGACATTCAGTCATGGAACACTTAGGATGCTGGTGTAACTGACTCAATAAACACTAAACGTGTAAACTTCAAAAAATAGTAGTAAAAGTAGTAAAAGATGAGGAGGATAGTAACAGACTGCAAGAGGACATAGACAGACTGGTAACATGGGCAGACACGTGAAGTGATTCATTTTGTGAGGAAGAATGAGGAGAGGCAATATAAGCTGATGGTACAATCCTAAAGGCGGTGAAGGGACAGAGAGACCTGGGGTCACATAAGGAAATCTTTGCAGGTGGCAGGACAGGGAGATAAAGCTGTTAAAAAAGCATCCGGGATACTGGGCTTTATAAATAGGGGCACAGAGTACACAAGTCAGGAAGTTATGATGAACCTTTATATAAAACACTGGTTAGGCCTCAGCTCGAGACTGGGTTCAGTTCTGGGCCCCACACTTTAGGAAGGATGTCAAGGCATTGGAGAGGATGCAAAGGAGATTGACCAGAATGGCACCAGGAATGAGGGGCTTCAGTTATCAGGAGAGGTAGAAAAGTGAGGATTATTCTCCTTGGAGCAGAGAAGGTTAAGCGCTTTGGGACGTCCTCCCGATGTGAAAGACACTCTATTAATATAATTTTGTTCCTGTTGTTAAGAGGAGACTTAATAGAAGTTTTCAAAATTATGAGGAGATTCGATAGGGTGAACAAGGAGAAACCATTTCCACTGGCAGGTGGGTCGGTAACCCGAGGACACCAATTTAAAATAGTTGTTAAAAGAATTAGTGGAGGTGAGAATTTTTTTCACACAGCGAGTTGTTGGGATCTGGAATGCATTGCCTGAAAGGGTGGTGGAAGCCAATTCGATAGCAACTTATAAACTTACTCACGTTGGTCCCTAAAGACCATATGTAGAATTAGTGTTTGAGTAGCTTAATTACTGTAATATGTTCTGTTTCAGTGACAGTTTAAAATATTCACAGCCACTTGGCACACAGGGATAGTTTCTCGAGCTTGCTAGCATCCCGAGGGTTCTCTTTGGATAGCTTTGCAGCAGGTGACCTTAAAAATATTTGAAATGCAGAAAGACACATGTTATTTTGAACTAACCAATACACATCTCCTCGTGATCATCCACTTTCTGATTTTTTTCAGATTTTTTCTGATGCAGGCCATCAGCTCTGGGAGATCCCCTTCCTTCCTCCACAGTCCTTCCAGATAAAGAAGCAAGCACTCTTGTCAAATTACCCTCAAAGGTTGACCCACTTTTTAACACAACATCCTTCTTTTCTGCCCAATTTACAGAGTTCTTTATGCGATCACCTTTCCCCGATAGTATGGGAGACTCCAGGTCTTCACCCAGAACAGCAGGAGCTCCCGCTCTCCCCAGATCATCACCGTTTTGAGCAACGTCGTCGATCAGTTCACTTTTACGAAATTTGGAACCATCTTCATCCACGTTGGATATCCCTGTTGTTTCATCAGCAGCCTGATTTTCATCTTCATAACCAAAGTCCTTGTTACCATTGTTCTCCATTAGAAAGCTTTTCTTGGCATCGGCAGCACAACATGGTGCAGATACGGCAGCTTTGCTTCCAGCAACCATCTTTGTATATTTTAGCTTATTATCTTCCGAGTTGCCTTCCATTTCCTCAGTTCCTTTAAGCATGTCTTGCTCAATCCCGTTTTCCTCTTCAATATCATCATTGAGAGCAGCAATTCGTTTAGGAGCAGCATTTTGAGCCAGGGGACCATCAGTTGGATGAAATTCATAATTTTCTTCCCCTAATGGCACAGCAGCAAGTTCACTTGAGCTCACACAATCATTTTCCACTTCATCTGATACTGACTCTTCTCGGTCTAACAAAGTTTGCTCTTTATTGTTAATTGTTTCACTCCGTCCTCCAAAAGTGTCCCTTGCATCAAAACCGCTTTTATTCACAGTTACAGATAGTTCAAGTCTTCTCTCAGTTTTAGCTGGATTTGTTATACTAAAGTCTAATGCCTTAGGAGAGGATTCTCTGCATTCAGCTTGATGCCAATCCACTTCAGTGTCCATCTCAATCTCACCTGAGAAAAAAAACACAGGGCAGCTTTATTTATTTACCTGTGGAACATATTTATTATACTGGAGGAGCATCGCACAGGATTTCTCTGCAACCTTCAACTATGAAATGACAAGATTCCTATGAATGCCAAAAACAACAACAACTTGGATGTATATAGTGCCCTCCACGCCGGACGGTGTCTCAGAGCGCTTTACAGTAACGGATCCCGGGGCCGAGCCAGGGGGAGGGGCCGGGGAGGGGGAGAAGCCGGGGGAGGGGGAAGGGGAGGAGCCATGGGGAATGTGACCAAAGGCGCGGTCGAAGAGAAAGGTCTTCAACATGGACCTGAAACAAGAAGAGAAGGAGCGAGGCGAAGGGAGTGAGGAAGGGAATTCCAGAGCCTCGGGGCATAGTGGCTGAAGGCACGGCCGCCGAGGGTGGAGCAGAGGACTCGGGGGACGAGGAGGAGGCCATACCCGGAGGAACGAAGGCAACAGGTACTGTTTTGAGGAGAAATGAGGTTAGAGAGGTCGGGAGGTGCAGAGGAGTGCAGGGCCTTGAATACAAGGGTGAGGATCTTGAAGTCGATCCTCTCTGGGGGACAGGCAGCCAGTGCAGTCTGGCCAGGACTGGGGGATCGGGGAGTGGGGTTTGGGTGTGGGGAGGGGGGGAGGGCCAGGACTGGGGGGATCGGGGAGCGGAGTTTGGTGCGGGAGAGAATGTGGGCGGCAGAGTTCTGAATGATCTGGATTTTATGGATAATAATAATAATAATAATAATCCTTGCATTTGATATAGCGCTTTTCACGTCGGGAGGACGTCCCAAAGCGCTTCACAGAATATACTGTAAAGTGAATTGACTGTATATTTGTGGGCGAACGCGGCAGCCAATTGCGCACAGCAATGTCCCACAAACAGTCGTAGATTGAAAATGACCAATTTATTATTGTTTGGGGATTTGGAGGGATGGTAGTGGAGGGGATGCCGGCGAGGAGGGCGTTAGAGTAGTCCAGCCGAGAGGTGACAAAGGCATGGACCAGGGTTTCAGCGGATTTTGGGGAGAGGTATTGACAGAGACGGGCGATGCATCGGAGGTGGAAGAAGGCGGTGCTGGTGAGGGACCGGATGTGGGGGAGGAAGGATAATTGGGGGCCATGCTGTCTGTCTTGTTACCCAGACAGTGGGTAACACTCCTCCACCCCAACCTTCATTAGAAGTGCAGAATACAGCTATATATGACAGAAGATATTAGCCACATTACAGTATTTCCCAGTAATGTTAGGGTTTTTTTGTGGGGAGGAGAGCGAAGAGGGGAAGTTCATCTACAACTAATACAAAGTTCACAATACATAACATTAAAACAAAAGATTTGAGTTGTAGGGACTTCAAAAGCAAAAATTCATGCTCTCACACTTTCTGGTACCATTTGAAATTTGCATTCAGATTAACGCCTTGAATTGCCCCCAGCTATCCATATGCAATCACTCCTCATTCTCATGAGTCCTATAGCAGTTAGAGGACACGCCTCGCAAGCAAGAGGATCTGGGTTTGATTTCCGGGCGGACAAAACCTTAGGCAAGTTTCCTTACTCCACATGCCTGTTTACCTAGCAGTAAGTAGGGACTTGGTTGTGATTGGCAGATCACTTTCTGGGGGTAATAATCCCTTCAAAAAAAAGATTAATAATTTGGTCACTCAATCCACAACTGTTTACTGACTGCCCTTCCATCTACTTTACAGTGTGTTCTGTGAAGCGCTTTGGGACGTCCTCCTGACGTGAAAAGCGCTATATCAAATGCAAGAATTATTATTATTATAATGCAGATCTGAACAACTCCCAGTTGCCCACTGCTCTCCCAGGATAGGTAAATGATCGATACCTTATTCTCTGATAACCTGGTTGCTACCATTTTTGTGTCTTGTGTTAGTGGGTTATTGCTCTTTGCATAATCATTGACTGTGTAACAACAATAAAGGAAACAACTGTTTAACATCCAAATCGTGCACACACTATTTCATCATAATTGAATAACAAAGTTTGCTTACAATCTGAATAGCACACAATATCTCAATTTCACATCCCATCCAAAAGCGAGCACCTCTGACAATGCTGCACTCCAGCACTGCACTAGCGAATCAGCCTGGTCTATGTTTAACCAGAGCTTGAGAACAGAAAAAATATAATACCAAGATCATAAAACACTGGTTAGGCCTCAGCTCGAGACTGGGTTCAGTTCTGGGCCCCACACTTTAGGAAGGATGTCAAGGCATTGGAGAGGATGCAAAGAAGATTTCCCAGGATGGTACCAGGAATGAGGGACTTCAGTTATCAGGAGAGACAGAGAAGTGAGGATTATTCTCCTTGGAGCAGAGAAGGTTAAGAGGAGACTTCATAGAAGTTTTCAAAATGATGAGGGGATTCAATAGGGTGAACAGGAGAAACTATTCCCACTGGCGGGTGGGTCGGTGACCCAAGGACACTGATTTAAAATAGTTGTTAAAGGAAACAACAAGATTCCATTTATAGAGCGCCTTTCACGTCGGGAGGACGTCCCAAGGCGCTGTACAGTTGGGTCAGGACCTGAGCATTGGGGGGAAATGGTCAGGGTGAGGGGAGGGAAGGGAGGGAGCGAGGAGGGGGTGGAGAGTTGAGAGGGGAGCTGAAGGCACGGTCAAAGAGAAAGGTCTCGAGACCGACCTTGAAGGAGGAAAGGGAGGAGGCAGCGAAGGTACTGGGGATGGAGTTCCAGAGCCTCGGGGCTGAGAGGCTGAAGGCCACCGATGGTAGGGCGGTTGGGGCGGGGGATGTGGAGCAGACTGGAGCCAGAGGAACGGAGGGTACGGGCAGGTAAGTAGGGGGATAGTAGGTCGGAGAGGTAGGAGGGAGCGAGGCCGTGAATGGCCTTGTAGGTGAGGATGAGGATCTTGAATTCGATCCTCTGGGGGATGGGGAGCCAGTGGAGGGGAGCGAGGGCGAGGGCGAGGGCGGGAGTGATGTGGGCACCATGTCTGGTGCGGGACAGTACACGAGCTGCAGAGTTCTGAATGACCTGCAGTGTGGAGGGAGGGCCGGGAAGGCCGGCGAGGAGAGAGTTCCCATAGTCCAGCCTTGAGGTGATAAAGGCGTGGACCAGAGTTTCAGCCGCGTGAGAGGTGAGGTAGTGCCGTAGTCTGGCGATGTTTCGGAGGTGATGGAAGACGGTGCCAGTTGTGGCGCAGATATGAGGGAGAAAGGACAGCTCAGGGTCGAACAGAACCCTGAGGTTCCTGATGGCTTTGAGAGGTGGAGAGTGCAGCCTTGGATGCTGATGCTGTCAGCGCCTGAGGTGCGGAGGCGCTGACGTGAGCCAATCAGGAGGGCCTCAGTTTTGTGTACGTTGAGCTAAAGAAAGTTGTCTCTCGTCCAGGACTCGATGTCGGACAGACAGCTGTCAGGACATCGGGGGTCGTGGAGTTGAGGGTAGAGGAGGAAAGGTAGAGCCAGGAAGGTAACCCCATGTCTGCAGATGACGTTACCAAGGGGGAGCGTATAGAGGGTGAAGAGGAGGGGACCGAGGACAGAGCCCTGAGGGACACTGCACGAGACAGTGCGGGGGGTGGAGGAAAAGCCGTTTGTGGAAACAAAATGAAGACGGTGGGAGAGGTACGACCTAAACCACTCAAGGACAGGGCCTTGAAGGTTGAGGTGGGAGGACAAGTGGTGGAGGAGGATAGCATGGGCGACCGTATCGAATGCTGCCGATAGGCCGAGGAGGCAGAGGGAGCCCTGGTCACAGATGGTCACTCCCACCCTCGCTCGCCTCCACTGGCTCCCCATCCCCCAGAGGATCGAATTCAAGATCCTCATCCTCACCTACAAGGCCATTCACGGCCTCACTCCCTCCTACCTCTCCGACCTACTATCCCCCTACTTACCTGCCCGTACCCTCCGTTCCTCCGGCTCCGGTCTGCTCCACATCCCCCACCCCAACCGCCCTACCATCGGTGGCCGGGCCTTCAGCCTCTCAGCCCCGAGGCTCTGGAACTCTATCCCCCAGTGCCTTCGCCGCCTCCTCCCTTTCCTCCTTAAAGGCCGGTCTCAAGACCTTTCTCTTTGACCGGCCTTCAGCTCTCCTCTCGACTCTCTACACCCTCCTCGCTCCCTCCCTTCCCTCCCCTCACCCTGACCATTTCCCCCTGCTCGGGTCCTGACCCAACTGTACAGCGCCTTGGGACGTCCTCCCGACGTGAAATGGAATCTTGTTGTTGTTGTCAAGATGTCATTGGTGACCTTGACAAGGGCGGTTTCTGTGCTATGGGCATCACGGAAACCTGACTGAAGGGTTTCAACCAGTGAGTGGGTGGAGAGGAAAGAGCGCAGCTGGGAGGCGACAACTCTTTCAAGGACCTTGGACAGGAAGGGGAGGTTGGAGATGGGCCGGTAGCTTGATAGCTGCGACGCATCAAGGGAGGGTTTTTGGCAAGGGAGTGATGATGGCAGCTTTTAGGAGAATGGGAACAGAGCCAGAGGAGAGGGACAGGTTGATGATGTCTGTGATATGTGGGGCAAGGAGGTGGAGCTGAGAGATGAGGAGTGGAGTGGGGATGGGGTCAAGGGAGCAGGTGGTGGGTTTCAGGGACAGGATGAGTTTGGTGACAGAGGGTGGGGAAATGGGTACGAAGGTGTGTAGGGGAGGATGGGTAGGAGTCGGAGTGTGGGAGGGAAGGGGTGGGGGGTGGGTGGAAGTTGGAGGGGGAGTGACCGCGGAGCGGAATCCCTTGATTTTGGATTCAAGGAAATCCAGCATCCAAGGTTGGAGGAGATGACCTGCGCGGGGTGGCGGGGGGGGGGGACGGAGGAGTTGGGATGTGGTAGAGAACAGTAGCCCGGGGTTGTTCTTCGCTTCCAGGATTATCCTGGAGTAGAAGGACGACTTGGCCGAGGCTAGAGTGGAGCGGTAGATTTTGAGGAGGTCCAGCCAGATTTGTCGGTGGACCGTTAGGCCAGATTTGACCCAGGTGCATTCAGCGGCCCGCACCTGG